GAGCAAATCATCTTCCTTGAATTTGCGGATACCGACTTGGACACAATCAAATGGTGCCAAGGCAACATTAAATGGCCAGAGTTTAACTCTACCGGCTCCAGGTGTGGAACAAATTATAATCTCTCTTTTTCAAAGTCTTATTCCAGGAAGTATAAGTGACTCACCGTATTTTTCTCTATTATATTTTAATTTTATTATTCCTCTGATGCTTTTCGCTTGTGTCATGTATTTTGTTTCTTAAAATGACAATTGACAAATGGAGTTAAATTCCTTTGTGCAGGTAACTTTTTATCTGTCTCTAAAAAATGGAGCTCTGGTGACAAATTAACCCTTGAACTGCCCATTACTCTAAGAACAGAGGCTATTAAAGGTATTGACATAAAATAATTTACTCACACAAAACATGTGCTGATCCTTTTATAGGCTTTTTATTATAAAGTTGTATTATATGCAACCGATTCTCTTTACTGATATATAATTCTTCACTAATGGAGGTGTTTTTTTTTTTTTTTTTTCTCCTTCAGATGACCGGACTGCATATGCTTCTGTTCAGGCAATACTATATGGTCCTTATCTGCTTTCGGGTCACACCAGCGGGGACTGGGACATCAATACTCAGTCAACTACATCTATTTCCGACTGGATAACTCCGGTTCCCGGTTCATATAATGCTCAACTAGTTACTTTTTCACAAGAGTCTGGAAACTCAACTTTCGTCTTAACAAACTCCAAGCAGTTGATTACAATGGAAAGTTATCCTGAATCTGGCACCGATGCTGCTCTACATGCAACTTTCAGACTGATCTTGGAGGAACCATCTTCCTCTAAACTTTCATCTTTCAAAGATGTTATTGGCAAGTCAGTCATCCTAGAACCTATCGATTTTCCCGGAATGCTTATAGCACAGCAAGGAGATGGCGAACTTGTGGTCACAAATTCTCCTAGTGATGGGGGCTCTTCTATTTTCCGCTTGATTGCTGGATTAGACGGAAAGCCTGGAACAGTATCCTTGGAGTCCAAAAGCCAAAAGGGCTGCTATGTGTATAGTGGTGTGAACATAAAGTCAGGCACAGGCATGAAGCTCAGCTGCAGTACAGAGTCATCAGAAACTGGATTTAACCAGGCAGCTAGTTATGTAATGGAAAAAGGAATAAGTCAGTATCATCCAATCAGCTTCGTGGCAAAAGGCGCAAAGAGGAATTTTCTTCTGGCACCATTACTGAGCCAAAGAGATGAATTTTATACTGTTTATTTCAACATTCAAGCTTAACCGCCAATGATGCATCGACAGGAAAATAAACAATCCTTGCTTTTCTCAGACTGGCGACACATTCCGCCTCACCGCTTTTCTCAAACATTTTGTGGTCTGCAATGGCTAAAGTCAGATTTCATTTACATGCTTAAGCCTGACAAAATAATATAGGGAGTAGACTAAAATCCCACCAGGAAGAAATAGCCATTAGGAAAACAGAATCCTGGTGTTAGTCTTGTTATTTCTTGTAATCTTATATTCTTGTAATCTGGGGTTCAGTTTAGTTTCATCCATGCCATATGAAAAATTTGCTGCAATAATAAGACATTTCAAAGATGGTGCACTTTTTTTATTTTTATGTTTTATAAGGTAATTGATATGGTACTGCCTCAATAACATTATTGAGATCGATTTGATGGCACTGTCGCACTGGTTAAGTTTTTTTGCGAGTAATTGTGAGAGTACTATTATACCTACAACTTCTTCTCCCAAGTTTTCTCTTACAATCATTGTTTTAAAACTTGGCTCGGCCTAACCGGTTGAATCGAGACCCAAAAGTGTCAACGGGTCAGGGTTATGTTTTTGTTATTCACCCAAAACCCTAAGATTTGGGAGGATGATCGGTGAACAATTGCTAGTTGGGATATTGGGGCTTTTGAAGAGAAACTGCCGGTGAATGCAATGGTGGTGATGGCGTTGATTTTCGGTCAGTAAATCGATCGGAAATCGAACAAAACTGGCAGCAGCAATAACCGGCTTTTGCCGGCTATTGGCGAGGCTAACAGAGGTGGGGTGAGGTGAGGTTTGGTCGGGAGGAAGAGGGGAGTAATTTCTGGGTGATGGGGAGGGTTGTCGACATTGGAGTCGATGAGATCTGGGCTGGAATGCCGACGTTGGTGTCGATGAGATTTGGCTGAAATCGAACCTATTTCGGCCAGATCATGAGTATAGTTTAAAGGGAATGGGCTCAAGGGACTAGATTTGGGTTTCATTTGGGGTGTCGTCGCCGCCAACCAGTTGTCGGCCGATTTTTATTTGGGGTGTGTTTGCTAAATTTTAAACCTATAGAGATGTAACTGTAATTTTTAGGGGTGTCTTTACTGAATTTTAAAAGTTTTTGTCAACCGGTCAACCCAAGACTCGGCAACTTTGCTGGGTTTCACCCTAGGTTGGGTTTAAAACATTGCTTACAACTTCGACATGGCAGCTCAAAATTGGTTAACTGTAAATTATCAGGTGGGACTTATTGCGAGTTGACCAATTGCGAATTGTCATGTCGGGATTGTGAGATGAAGTTTGTGATAATAGGTTGTTGGTGTAACATTTTTCGATTGTGAATGTATCATTAATTTTCTCAACACAGTGTTATAATCTATCTTTTTCCTGTCTGTGGTTATAACACAACATTGTAAAAGTGCGTTTTACAAGTTTGACGTTTTCAGTTTATAAGTTTCTCGTTAATGTATTGATATAGTACTCCAATGTACCAAAACCCTGGTAGATAAGTATAAATTATTAATAAAAAATCTACATATTTTGCTATATGAAGTAATTCTATTGGCTAATATAGGGGGTGTTTGTCTAAGTTTATAAGTTGGTCAAACCAGCTTACAAGTGCTAAAATCAAATTAACGTGTTTGTTTATAATTTTATTGGGCTTATAAGCCCCAAAAAATAAGTTGGGGGAACCTACTTTTTTTTTTTTTTTTTTTGTTTATAAGAACTTTGCTTATAAGCTACTTTGACAAAGTAGCTTATCATATTACCCCTATTTAATTCATTATAATGTTAATTAGTTTATTTTGTATAAAGAATCTAAAAATTATTCATATAAATTTTTAATAAAATATTTGTCTATAAAGTATTTATTTATTTAATTTTAAAATTAAATTATATTGTAATATGATCTAAATATATTTTGACAATATTATAGTAAAAAATTGAGTTAATATAATTTATTATTTTATAAAATAATGTAGAACCCCTTTTAGTCATTTTAATAATAAAATGTGCTTATAATCCATATTTTACTAAATGCATCAACTACTTATCAGTCACTTATAAATACTTTAACTAAATATGTAACAACTTAAATTTTAAATGCTTATAAACTAAAATTACCTTATAACACTAATTGCTTATAAGTTAATTTTCATAAGCTCGACCAAACAGGCTCGTAGATAAGCTGGATGTAATATTGTTCATATGGTAATCTTAAAGCATCACTTTCTAGGCTTTAGCACCATTCCTCATTTGGTAACTACAACTTTAGTTACTAACAAATTATAGGCTTAAATTGTCATATCTGTTTTTAATAAATTTTCTCTTTTAGGGGTTAATAATCTTCTATATTTTTATCCTTTCACTACCATTACTTGTTTAAGTAACTATTGATATAGAAATCTGCACCAACCAGAGAATTCCGATTGACTTTGCGAGATCAGAATGGATGTGCGTGTAATTACGGATAATTAGCAATTGACAAGTATTGAATGCAATAAATTAAATGGCAATGAGAGTTTTTAAAGTGGTTTGGCGAGGTAAACTCTTTAGCCTACATCCATTGCTTTTTGTATTTCCTGTAAAAGCTTACAATGAGAATTCTGTGAAAATTTTGTAACCCTTTTTCCATCATTTGAGGGGGTTTATATACAAGGTTTGTACAAAGGAAAGAGCAAAAATAAAGAGATTATAATTGATCTGAACTGTAATTCCGATATTCTCGCGATTGGGCACTGTGATTGCATAGAGATTGCTATTGATCTAGTCATTCTTTTGATATCTAGGATATGAAGTTATCTGGGAATTAATTGAATGATCATTCAGGTTGTTCGCAATTGGCTTGTGTTGGGTCAAGCTATATGTCGACGAGCTTATGCTGGGTCAGACAACCGGTTGAGTTGGACTGATCCTGGGTTGAGCTACATCCTCGTGGTAGCCCGAGCTTGGTGGAAAAATCACACACAACATTTGCCACCTAGTGATTGATGCTCGTTTCGAGCTTCAAAGACTATTGCTCAATTTGATACCAAGCTTGCCATTAATAACAGGTCTTCGGATGTAGGTTCGATAGAGCTCCTAGGGTCGACCTCATGTTCGATCGACGTGCTTCACGCTTGTTTACTTTTTGTGATACCTGTCAAACTCAGAATATGAAAAGTTAGGGCAAATATGTAATTTCCATGTGATCATGTCACATTAAATGTGGCATCCTTTGTTAGTCATGCTTAATCGCTTGTGGGCTTCTATAGTTGTCCATGCGCAAAGTCGAGGCGATGTGCATTGATGGTTATTAGTGCAATAGTCTGACGGTTCATCGCCCCTCACGGATGGATGACATGTGGCCACGTCTAAGGGTCGAGATTGCTCGACGAATTAAGGGTCGAGATTCACTACAGATCGACGGCTATGATTAAACCTTGACCTTTTGTCTTCCATGCAAACCACTATAAAAGGTGGCGAAGTCGTCAGGATGCTCATTCAGTCCACAAAATTTTTTTGATGCCTTTGTTCACTTTGCTACTGCTTTGTCATCGTCACGATGCTCTTTCCGGCGAGTTTCTTTACTTCTTTTATTCCGGTAAGGTTCTTTCCCCTTTCTTTATCCGTTTTTCCAACTTTCGCATCAAAGGATGGCTATTGTTGTGACCAAATTGAATGTTCTAGGGCTTTAGTAGGGTTTTTGAATGCATCTTTGGTGGTCCTGGGTCTAAGGAGGGCTTAACGTGGTGGCTGCCGGAACTCTGGATAGGTCGCGTGCGTTTGTCGTTTGGCCCGAGCTATCTTGGGTGCCTGAACTAAAAGCAAGTGTGGAATGATTGCCGAGCTTTCTGAGCTCTGACATATGTTCGCTTCTGTTTCAGATACCCAGAAGTGAGCTATAACCATGTATTCTTCCGGCAGTCACATAATTGATCGCAAGTTCGATTCGCCTGCGGGCTTGGTAGTCCTTAGGGATTCAACTCCTGAGGTCTTTGAGGAAATCATCGCGTGAAGCTTGGACGCTGACGCGACAAGCTCTTTTGACTGTGCCTCTATATAGTTGGCTCAATCCAGGCGGTTTCCAGTTCATAGGTTGCGAAGAGAGCCACAATCCTTGATTATTATAAGGGATTTGGAGCGCATAAGAACGGTCTATGCGTCACATCTTAATTTGATGGTTTTGGGGGACTTTTCTCAAAAGAACCCCTCGCCTGAATGAGTGGTGATCTCTAAGACCCTCCTAAGATGCGGGGTATCCATTCCCAGTCATTGTTTTGTTGACAACGTGCTAAAGCGGTTCGACATCATTCCTCTCCAACTATCAGCAAATTCTGATGTAATTATCATCGCTCTGTACATAGCGTATATGATCGTTGAATTGGGCGAGCCATCCGTCGAGGAGCTCATCCATCTGTATAGGCTTAAGAAAGGGCAAAACCAGAAGGTATGTTTCAATGGGCTAGTCGATGTCACAAAGAAGGCCCCGCACTAGGACTCACAATTTTTCTTCTACGAAGCTAGGGAGACCCGCGCCTTCGCTTCGAAAGTGAGTAAGTGTTCGACTTTTCATGCGTGTGAGGATTGCTTTTGAGCTTTGTGTTCTAGCTAACTGAGTTGCTTTGTTTTGCAGTTAACGTCGAACAGAACTATCTCCCTGCTGCAAGCTTGTAGAGGCTCCAATGTTTTAGTGACTTTCTTGACAGACAGCGTAACATTAACGATATCAGTATGCTTCCTCACCTGCGAGCATACGGCTTATGTCGGGATGATGCCAGATTTCTTACGATTTTGAAGAAAGGTTAAGTTATCGTTTACTTGCACTTTTTTCCCGCGTGGATAAGTTGCTTACTGTTTGTTACTTTTTTGTTGAGATGTGCGTTGAGAAACTGAAAGGTCTAAAAAAGAAGACGATAGCTTCGACGGCTGCCAAGAAAACATCAGCTACTTTGGTAACAAAGCAGCCCATTGACGTTGCCAACGTGAAACGCAGTGGCGGTGAGCTTGGGGAAGGCCCAAGTGTGAAAAAGCCCGCGATTGCCCTAAAGGCAATTGGCGGGAAGAACATCTCTAAGCCCCAAAAGGAGCTAGTAAAGAAAACACTTGAGTTGGTTGGAGGCTCGGGAAAACAGAGGACACCGAGCAGCATGATGGTTTAGGTAAGAAGAAAACGACTAAGCCTCTAGAGGGCTTGGGTAAACAAAAAGTGGTTGAGTAGCAGGTTGGCTTGGGCAAAGAGGTCGCCATGCATACTGGCGGCCTAAAGAAAGCAGCAGCCAAGGACTTGGCGAAGAAGAAGTCTGC